TACGCTATAGACCTACAGATCGAACCCCTGCTGCCTATGGACCTACGACAGACCTACCAACTGTCTGCGAATACACAGGTCACAGGTTCAATTCTTGGGATCTATACAGATACTGTACATAGGTAGGGTGAGGTCTAGGGATCGAACCCTGGGTACTGCATCCGCTATTGCTAAAAGGTGAAAACCGTTTCAGAAGAATGATGCCGCGACAACAAGTCAAGAAGTAGCACTAGGGCGGTGAAGCAACAGCACAGAACGTAGGCTGGAGGGCATGGGGGAGGCCGGTGGGCAGACAAATAACACTAAGCAAGAAAAGAACGGACAGGAAGTCGAGAAGCAGCCCGGCAACAAGACAACAAGGCGGACAATAGAGCAAGCAGCAAAAAAACACAAAGCGAAAAAAAACAAAACATGATAGATTGACGTACTTCCACGCGACTTTGGAGATAAAGTGCGGCTTGGTTGCATTAGATGTCCAAAGATATGCTGCTGCCCTTCTTCTTAATAAGGAGGCTGTCTGTGCTGGTGGAGTCCAGATTGTCCCTGCATACCATAGCATAGAAAAGATGGATGTGTTCAGAATCAGCGCCCTACCGAAGACCGACGTGTACACCGCTGACCAGGCCCCCAACTTTGCTAGGATCTTGGACATGAGATCGGCTGCCATCGAGTGGTGTGGCCCCACTTCCGTGATCTTGACTCCTAGGTATCTCAACGGGGCTTGTGCTGGCACCCATTGGAGCCCTTCTGGGCTTGAGACTGGGCTTTCACCCTCTTCCTCCTGGTCTGCCAGCCACCAACCTACCGTCTTCGGCCAATTGATCTTCATTTCCGATGCCAATTGAACGGCCTCCATTGCCCGCGTCAGGGCTTGAAAGGACGAGTCTGATGCCCTTATTAGTACTGTAAGGTCGTCTGCAAAGAGGAGGGTGGTAGGCAGGTGGATGAGACGTCCTTGTTGATCTGGTTCCGTCGTAAGTCGTTGGATTGCCAGCAACACCTGGAAAAGGCCGAGGAATATAGGACCCGCTTCATCCAGAACGTGCTGGGGCAAGAGGCGGTAGCTAGTATCCAGAGAGAGAAACTGAATTTTAAATGGAGAATGGAAAGACCAGGAGTAAAGTAGGCACCCAATAGTTAAGGAGGCACAGTCAAGACTGCAGCAGGGCCCAAGGAGGCAGGAAGAAGGGTAACCCCGGGGGGGAGAAGACAGAAAAAACTTTAGTTGAGGGTTTAGGGTTTAGGGTTTGGACAGAATTAGGGCAAACAGGGTTCAGAATGGCAGAGTTCTCATGTGGCTCACACGGGGGATTTACAGTTTAGACACAATTGGCAGCTTTGGCAGCTTCTAGGATCTGTCTCGCTAGTCATGCTTTATACGACCGGTTTTCACAGTACATATGAGAGGAAAGGAGGAAGCACGGCAAGCTGACAGTCAATCCTCCACGATGTTGGAGCAATCAATGGTGGTCAGGGGTCCTTCGGCCGGACGGAAGGAAACGTGGGTGGGTACTTATGATGTATCCTTTAAGTCTGACTTGCCGGTGGAATAGGAACCGGACTGATGCTCCCCAGAATGGAAATGGAGCCAGGACCATAAGGGCCTGTTTTACAAAAAAAAAAAAAACAAAAAAAAAACAACATGATAGATTGTTTCGTCGGAGTTGCGCCGACTCATCAGGAGGCTGAACCCTCCACAATCTGTGGAATTTCTGTATTGATGGTTTAGGTCATGCGCCCTTTGACCCGTGTTGAAGGCAGACTGTCCCCAAGCGGAACACAGCAGCGGGCAGCAACTCAGCAAAGCACCAGGCAACGCTGTTGAGGCAACCAAGCAGGACACAGCAGCGGGCAGCAATTCAGCAAAGCACCAGGCAACGTTGCCGAGGCAACACGACTGCACAACACCAAAAACAACCGCAAGGAACGACAAGGCAAGTGAACGAGCGGCACCGCGACCACACAGCGAAGCACAAGGCAACACCAGCAAGGCAGCCAAACTACTTGTCACACGAGGAAAGGACGCAGAAGGCAAGGCACACAGATGGGCAGCAAGGCAGTAGAGCAGCGAAGCACAAGGCAACACCAACACCACAGCCACACCACACAGTGAACACAGCAGCTTGCCAAGAACGACATGCGAAGCAAGCGGGCGGGAAGCAAGGCAGCAAGGCAGCGACGGAGCGCCGACGAGGCAGTCTACACATCCAACACGGAGCAAAGCGGCATATCACCTACTCACATCATGGGTGACCCTGCAGACTGTTGGTTCGCACCACACGCTGAGCCAGGGGGTCACTCCGACGGACGTCTGTCATGACCCATAGACCATATGCACCACACAGATATCATGGACAGTGTGGCTCCCCTAGGAGTCCTGCAGGCACTCCAGACAACGGAGCACCTACTATTTAGCACTTTTTAAAGGTGCTCACTCAAACACACAGAAAGTACTTAGGAAAAATAGGAGAAAGGACAAACAACAAGAGAAAGGCAGACATACATGAGACTGATTGTGTGTGTGTTGTCTTTGCTAACGAAACTTGCTGGAAAAGCATGAATGTGAATGATAATTTTGTAGGACTTTTCGCTTTGCGTTTCTTTCCTTTTTCCTGAATGCTGTCTATGTTGTCTTTGCGCACGGGCCATATCAACCATTTCCCTTTCCAGGTTCAGTCACCGAAATCATAGCATGAGTCCACCTTCACTCGGGGGAAGACTCTCTCTCTCTCTCTCTCTCTCTCTCTCTCTCTCTCTCTCTCTCTCTCTCTCTCTCTCTCTCTCT